TGCTTTTCATCGGTTAAGTCACGATCTATTATAAAAGCTGTTGAAATAAGAAGTATTAAATAAGTCAAAGAAGTCATCTAAGGGGAATAAATAAAATAAACTTTTAGTTACCGGCAAGATTCGACTCGCTCCACGATCGGGGCACAGAAAGGCTCTTGTCCTCGGGGCTGGCACCCACATTGAACTCCCAACCATCTCTTGACACAAAGAAGAAAACCAATCTCCATTTTCGGGGGTAATTAGGAAACTTTCCTAGTAAGGCGTCAGATGGGTGGGCAAAATTAAGCCAATCACCAGCTTTCTTCCTGGGTTGAAAGTAGTGAAGTAACTTTTTCAATGTTAAAAGACTATTACCACACAAATACCACAAAATCATGCATCCCACAACTGTCTTCCAACCATTTGGAGAAAGCTGGGAAGGAGCTAGTTTAAAGAACCTGAGCAGCTCCCTAACAAATTTAGGTAAGAGGAACCGTAAGCCAGCATCGAAAGCCGTCTCAAAGAAACATGTATAACCTTCCTGAGGATCGTCACATACTCTTTCACGAGGAGAAACACATCGAACCTCCACAGACTCCGGGAATAAAAATTTCAGCTTCAGTTGGCCTAGGTGGCTGGCGTCTAAGTACGAAGCTGCGTGTTGCGGTTTGATGGGAAGCACCTTGTCGGCTGAATTATTGCGCTCAATGACTTCCTCGGGAGGCTGGGTTGAAGAAGCCATGGAAAAAAGGAAAAGAGTGCAAGTGGTAAAGAAAAAAGAAGCAAGAGGAGAGGAAGGAGGCAGAAGAAGATAATTGAAATGGTCAGGCATTCTCTGTGCTTAAATAAGCAGAAAAGAGTTTAATCTACTGCAATGGTTATAAAAATAGCAGTTGAAAAATAGACACTTGCAATTTGAAATTGAAAATGCGAGGCCCCCTCCTCTAGTTGCCCGCCAAATGGAGTTCCTTACAGGGTCCCTGCGTTACTTGGCAATTACAAACAAGTGGCAACAGTGTAAGGCCTATACCAGAGGTCCCTACGCTGTTTAATAGGGGTCACTTGCATTTTTTCTCTTGACAACTACAAATAAGTGGCCACAATACAAGGCCTACACCAGCGGCCTCTACATTATAAAGGAAAAAGGGATCCCTTGCATCTTCATGACAAGGGGGTCCCTTGCACCTTTTTGACAAGGGGTTGCACCTGTTTTAACAAGGGGATCCCTTGCACCTTTATGACATGCGGGTCCCTTGCACCTTTTTGACAAGGGGATCCCTTGCACTTTTATGACAAGGGGGTCCTTGCACCTTTTTGACAAGGAGGTTCCTTGTAACTTTATGACAAATGGGCCATTGCAATATTTGACGAAGAGGTCCCCTGCATTTGCCATTGAGGCCCCAATAATATAAATATATATATATATATATATATATATATATATTATATTATATTATTAATCTTCCAGGGAACCAAACACCTTACATTCTATTAGTTTGAGATCCAAATATGAGAATGGGGGGTAACTAATGATACGGTCTCTACAATCTAACACGAATACACGAGTTCTAACAGACACGAAAGCCAAGAAGTCAGATAAACTACAATTATGAAGCAATATAGATAAGGATGAGTTCTTCAGATCCGTAATGCACTATGATAAGGAAATTAATTCCCTTATCAGATACTGTAACATATCCTATAAAAAGGGTAGTCAGCCATTTCAAAAGGTACGCAAAAAATATCCTTAATAGAGTCCATTAATCTTCCTGGTCTTGTACTAACTTGACCGTCGGAGACTCTTGGGCCAGTACCGTACCGGTGCCTTCGACGACTTTTTCTCTTCTCTGCAGGTTAAGACGTTGTTCTGGGTCGTGACAAAATCTTGCATCATCAGAATCGATCAAGAAAAATCATTTAACAAGGATGTAATTGATCTCAAAATCAATGGTGATTATGAAAACTTTTGTGATATATCTGATCGGATCTACAACATCAAGTCACATCACATAATGTTGTTTCATAAAGGATGTGACCCGTTTAAAAAAAAATATTGGAAATGCAATAGTGATGGGTGTTACATTGAGGCTTCAATTTGTCAACAAAGTTTCTCTAATGAACGGCCATTGAAGGTGAAAAAGTGGGGAATTCATCCAGTAATTGATGCGCACAAATGGAGATAGAAAAGGTAGCTCAATTTATTTTTCTTCAACTTTACTAATATTCAACTTGGATTTGTTCATTTTCTAAAGTGCCATTATGACTTAGTATCTCTCATTGCAGAATTTTCGAAGATATTTTTTTTCCTAATCACTATTTTTTACTCAAAAGGTATAAATTATCAATAATTCCAAACAAATACTTGAGATTTGGCATGATTCCTTTATTGCTAATTTATAAAATCTTCCAAATCATTATTTTTATAATACAAAATTTCGGTTTATCATCTCCTTCTTTTTCTTACTAATTTTAAATTTAGCAAAAATGATTTTTTTCAATATTTGGTTTTGTGTGATTATCTTTGTTGGGGGGATACACTAAGTCACATAAGGCGGAGCGAATGCGAGAGTGAGAGAGCGTCAAAGTCTAAAAATTTTGAGAGCACCCATATATTTACTTATATATATTTATTCCACTTAAAACTTATCATTTTAATTTAATAAATATTTTTTTATAAATTTCTAATATTAAATAAATATTTATAAATATTTTAATTAATTAATTATATGAAATAGTTATATATTTTAACCTTGTCAATTACTTACATATCATAAGTGTTACAAGTTAGCTTAGCTTGTTAGAGTGTGTTCCTTCTGTCCATATTAGTCTTCTACTTTTGTTATTAGGACTTTTAAAATTATCAAGTTGTTGTTTTAAATTCAAATATGCATATTCCTAGATTTTGAAAATTTAAAAGGTAATTATGAAAATATAGCATTATTTTGCTCTGATTTTTCATATGAAACATCCCTAAATGGAAAGTTGGACTACTAATATGGAATAGAATGAATATTAAACAATCAAATTATGCATTCAGTATACAAATAGGAAAATGATAAACATCACGAAGTGATTTTTATAATTTTATCACTAATGAGACGAGTCATACAAATATACTTGTATGTAACAATCCGCATATAATTCACGGATTGGAAATCTGAATTTGTGAACTCAACAATTTGAGTTCATGAATTTAGGACGAATTCGCTCTCAATTCGCCAATTCATGCGTGAAGCATGGGAGCAGCTACTCTTTTAACGAATTATATGACTTGGGTTTTACATTTTTTTATGCATAAGCGTGTAAATTCAATTGAAGAATCTTTTATTGAGTAATTATGTAATAATTATTTAAAATTATATTCACAAACTTGTTTTTGCTACTTGTTATCTTATTTCTATCCATCTTTGATGGTAATGATAAACCAATTTATAAATTGCTCCCTAAATATAAAGTTTACTGCGGGGAACTATATAAATTTTTATAGGCACTTTTCAATTTTCTGAAAAAAATTATTTGGTGCATTGGTTGATGTTTCTCTTATATTTAAGATCTAGATGACATTTACCTTAAGTTTGTCTTATGAAAACTATATCATGAGGAGGTGGGTTGGACCACATTTTTTTTTTTTTTGTTTTATCAGTTGTTATTCAAAAATTGACAGTCTAAAGGGAACTTTGTTCCCACTTTTGAGATTTGCATTTCAATTCTCGCAACATTATGGAGGTAATGTGAAATTGTTTGTCCTTCTTCCCAATTCACCACATCCCAGATGTGAAATTCATGGAGCATACTACAATCTTATCATATCTTTGAATGACCATGAGAGTTATTCCTTGATGAACAAATTATTTAACACTACAACAAAACACTTATGTGGTGCCAAAATTTTAACAGCAATTTTAAAAAAAATGCTGCACATTTTACTAAATGTGGCACTTGATTGCTGTAGAAACATGGACCCATCGTTTATTTTATTTTTATTTTTATTTTTCATTATTCATTTTGTATTTGTCCATCATCCTCCCTTTCTCTCTCTACCCCCACTCCTAATCGCTGATCAGTTTCTCTTTCTACCCCTGCTCCTCTCTCTTTCTCCTAGGCTATGTTTGGTACAATGGGTTTGAAGGGAAAATATAACATTAGTTATGAAGGAAAGGAAAGGAAAGGGAAAAATAATTTTAACCCCCTATTATGTTTTTAATTAATGAAGGAAAAGAAAGAAAAGGATAATAATCATGTTTGGGAAAAGAAAGGAATGGGAATTATTTTAATAAATTCACTATTATACCCTTTTATATTTTAAAAGAGAAATATATATATATATATATATAATAGAGATGGAGGCGAGATTGGGGAGGTTGAAATGATTTGCCCTAATTTTTTTTTTCTTTTATATTTTAAAAGAGAAATATATATATATATATATATATATATATATATAATAGAGATGGAGGCGAGATTGGGGAGGTTGAAATGATTTGCCCTAATTTTTTTTTCTTTTCTTGTCTCCTATAGCTGGCCACAAGAAAAGACAAAATAAATTAGGGAAAATCATTTTAGCCTCCCCAAGCTCGCCTCCATCTCTATTCTCGTTCTCCAGTCTGAACTTGCCCTCTCTCCTCTCTCTTTCTCTCTCTGCACTACAAGAATCAAAAGTTCAAAACCCATATATTTCAGTTTATTTATCTGTCTGCAAAATCAGAAGTTTAAAACCCGTATCGATATATCATTTCAGATTTTTCGGAAAATCAAAACCCATATCTTTCAATTTCCATCCCGCTGTTCCAGTTTTGGTTCACCATCTCTCACTCTCTCTGCAACTGCTAACTTGTATGTATATTGTTTTGCAAACTTGTGTAATCTTGAGGGTAAAATTAGCATCACAACTCCTCCATCAGCCATTGCCCTCACTTTCCTTTTATTTCCTCCCATTTTTGGGAGGATAAGAAAACTACTATATAAACTTATACATAACCCTCCAAAGCCTTCCCTCTCCTTTCTTTTCCTTCACCCATTTTAGCCAAAACAAAATTGTTTTTAACACCCTCCGTCACTTTCCCTTCCCTTTCCTCCCTTTTCCATTCCACCAAACTGACCCGTACTTCTCATCTATTACTCTCTTTCCTTCATGTACACAAGTTAAACCTTGTGTATTTTGGATGGTAATGGTATGGATCCGTAGAAATGAATCGGAGTTTGAAGGAATCTCTGATCGGAGGGAGGTCGCAGTACCGACGAGGTCTCAGTCTCAACAGAATCTCCAAGGATACGGACGAGAACTTGGATCTCTTCTTTAGGAATCGCCGGAGTCTCTCCGTTGCTTCGTCCGACGAATCCGATGGTACGATTCCTCTTTATATGCACTGCATTATCCTTCTCTTTGAATCTCACTACTCCTTATTTACTTGTGGACTGTGATATTTCATTCAAAGCTGTATGATTTAGTTTAATGCACAGTTAATTTGGATCTGATTCTGTTCAATCAGCCAATTAATGCCTTCACTACTGGTTCATAATTTAATTCATACATGTTCAATTATTGGGATTTTATGAAGCTAGAGCATTTTGATTTCAGTGTTAATTTACTTTTCATTACCTAATTGCAGTTTCAGTGAAATTGGGGAGGCTTTCAGTTGGATTAGCGAAACCCTAACTACCAGACCGACTTCTTCTTCTACGTCTTCGTCCGAGGACACCAATTCATGGGCTGTTCATGCTTAGTCGCCGCCGGACTGCACTAATGGCAGTGGCCGGGCATACGCTTCATTCTCTCTCCAAGGATTCATGAGATTTCGAAGGCAGGTGATCAGGATTATACCAGCTCGGTGCCTCCTCTTGATTACAAGGCAAACCCCTTGTTTCCATCCTTGGTAAAGCCAATGATTTAGGTACTACTATCTCTCTCTATTTGTATATGCCATATATATTTATATATATTTGGTAGAATTTAAATCTTGTCCCGAACTCTATAAGTGTTTAAGTAGACTTCTCATATATGAATTATGGAAATTAAAAATTGGTCCCCAATCCATTGGTTTCAATGTAATTAAATTGTCTAATAAAAAAGATTGAATTTTGGTCAGATTGTGTCAAGTAAGAGTTACTAATATACATTGTAGTCCTATGTTGAGGAACAAGACGATACCGTTTATAAATGTTCTTTGGAGGCATGAAGGAGTTGAGGAGGCTACTTGGGAGCTCGAACAAAAGGTTCGCTCCAAGTATCCAGAATTGTTTTCTCCCTTAGGTATGGCTTGATTTTGGGGACGAAATCTTTTAAAGTTAAGGAGAATGTAATGTCTATGACTATATATATATATATATAAATGCTATGGTTATAAGATATATTTTTTTTAAAACATAAGTGGGCCCCACCATTATATTAAACCTCACAAAAGGCCTAATTGCCATTTACTACATCAGTTTTTCTCTCACTGTGTCCAATAGCTTCGTCTTTTTTTTTTTTTTTTTTTTTCTTCTACAATTTCAAGGCTTGATCTTTCTCACACCAATTGGAATTTGGTAATACCTGGTGAAGTAAAGTTGGAGAGCTCGTCGAGGCCGTCGATTTGATAGGAGCCAAGTACCATTTGGCCAAGCCTAGGGATTTCGAATTTAGGGCTTGAAATTGGAAATTTTGGGGTTTTTCTTCAATTTGGAGAGGTAGGGGTCTCAAATACATGATTTCTTATGCTTTTGTGAATTTTTTCTCTATAATTTGTCGATTTGCATGCTTAATTAGTTTGAATTCTTACAAATTGCTTAAATATTGTATATGAAAAATGTGGCTATGTGTTAGTTGATACATTGTGTATAAGCATGCATATATGAATATAATTTAGGCTTTGTATACTTACTATGTGATATCCATGTTGAATGAAAGCATAACTTACATATTTTAGAAATTTATTATGGAAAACATATATGAAAAATCTATTGTTGAATTGATGATTAGAAGCATGAAGCATTCATGCATCTATTGGGAAAGAAAAAGGAAAAAGTGTTTTGAAAGAAATGAAATTGTTTTGGGAAAAATAATTTTTGAAAAGTGTTTGTGAAAAACTCGGACGCCTAGGAGGCGCCTAGTGGTCCGTGGTGTTAATATGACCTAGAGGGAGCTAGAGAGAGACTCTAGTATGATTGAGCTACCTATGCCTAGACGACGCCATGGAGGTGCCATGTGGTCGGGAAAAGCAAGCCAACCCTCCCCTCGTGGCGACATAGAGGTGTTATGGGCCGGATTGCATTAACGGTTTGCATTAAAGTGACATTGACATGACATTGCATTTCATTAGCATATTTGGTGTATTTGTGATTGGATGATATTTATTTACATGCTTGTTGTGGTGTTATTGATGTGTATTCCCTATGACATGATCCCACTTACGTTTTACCTATTCTTTGCATTAATTCACAAGGTCATAAGAAATGTGTCTTAGACACTTCCTGTGATACTCCCGGATTTCCGGATACGGGTTGGCCAGGCCCACGCCCGACTACCTGAGGATATCAAATAAATTAGTAATAAACGAACACAAAATACAATTAAGGAAACATGAATAAATAAAAATTTGCTGAAAAGAAACTAGAATGATAAATCAAATACTGAAACCTCAGAATAAAATTAAATTAATAAAGAATTATTCTGATACATCCAAATTCTCCATTTCTAATACAACTCGGGAATCCATCTGGTGGACCCCTAATAAAATCATCACTTAGAAATGAACCACCAAAAAAGAAACCAATGCTAAACCATACAGGAACCGCCTACGTCGTCGGAAGAATGAGAAGTCGTCTCTGCTCAGCACAAACAAGATCTAAGACCTGAAACCGTCCGTTACCTGAAAAATAATAGTAGGTCAGGCCCACGAACAAGTTCTATCCTAACTACAATCCAAACAGAGACCCGATACGTAGATACATCCTAGATGTCTCAACCATATCTATATAGTCCGTAAATAGATATATACATATAACCACGCTACAGGACTCTCACTAGACTATGCTAAGGGTCTCAACCTGAATAGAAGGCAACATGCAAAAACACACCTGAGTGGGCATGACTACCTAAGCCTAACAGGGTATACCTCAACCAACATAGCTAGCTATGCATCCTACTGCATATACGCTCTCTAACTGTCAACTATGAGACTCAAGCTTAGATCGCGATACCATAATTATATATATAAAGTCCGATCCTATCCAACCATAAGAAATTCAGCTAGTCGTTCAGCTTGTTCAGTCGCACAGACTAACATAAATTAAGTGTATATACATCCCATTTAAATACAATGTTGAGTCAGTTAACTATTCGTCGCCAAAACACAACATATAATTAGGATTTGAATGTTTTAATTAAATCCCTATCCTTCCTATTAACAGAAAATATAAACAACCATCCAATATGTCATTCAACTATTTTAGTTGACAGGACATGAAACCATGTAGGATTCAATTGTTTTAGTTAATCCATTCCGTATGTATGAATGGGTTAGAATTAGCGTTTTGATCTAATCCGTCCCTCCGTATGTCACCGTCCCATATCGGTACATACCATGCATATGATCCGTAAATGATGCATTAACTCAATCATTACACCAAATATAATCCACATAAATCCATGTAGCTGATAAAACAAAATTGGAACAGTTTATCAATTAAATATCCATGACAATATCCATGAAATTGACGAGACAAAACTTAATCGTTTGTCAACTTAAAATCCAGAATCCATTCATATAATTGACAGAAAATATGCAATTAATTCTTCAATTAAGTCCAGGTTAACTCCCATGTAAATTACAAAACCTATGTTTTAGTTTAGCAATTTAAGTTGAAAACCATCATCCAGTTGAAAACCATCATCCAATTAATTGCAGAATAGTGTATCTAACAATTCAACAATTTAAAGCAAACCTTTTACTCATGTAATTGCAGGAAAATTAATGTTTCCGCAGTATAAAAATCCAAAGTATGCACAGGTCCAATTTATTAACTAAAAGACTCTACTGTGCATCTAAAACAAAAATTAGAAACATGTTATAATTCATTAAATTTCCATATTAGAGCAAGCAAGTAATTTCTATCCTTAATCTACGTAATTGCAGAACGGATTTTTTAATTCAGCAATTATATTCCCGAGTGTGCACAGATCAAATTTATTAAGTAAATGACCCTAATGTGCATTTAAAACAAGATTAAAATCATGTTATAATTACTTAAGTCGCCCATTTAAAAATTGAACAACTATTTCCCTTCCAACCGTTAACAGTATGTAAATTGTCTAAATTTCACACTGATCATTCCCTTCCTATAATAGGCTAACTTATGCAATTAGAGAGATTAAGATCTCTTGAAATTACTTTTAAAATTTTTAGTTCACTCCCTAAAACAATTTAGAACTCCAAACATAGCCCAAACAGTTCCCGAACAGCTCCAGATTGCAACCAAACGTAACCTAACCAAAGAGCCTTCTCTTGAAAATCATAGAGCAGGCTCTTTACAACATGGAGCCTGCTCTACAAAAACTTAGAGAGCCTGCTCTAGAAACTTAGAGCCTACTCCATACAAACTTAGAGCCTGCTCTTGAAACTTAGAGCCTGCTCTTAAAGGCTTAGAGCCTCCTCTGTCCAGTTTTGCTCCGTTTCGCCTTTCAGCTTCATCTCCGACTATTCCCAACCTTCGGTTCATCTTTAATACTGAGTTTAAGAATCCTATTTACACCCAAAATCATCCCCATGACTGGTTTTATAATCCGTTCAATCACTGAATTAAACTACGCAAGTTAACTTTCCTCTAATCATTAACAGTACTGAAAAGTTGTCTACTTTCCTACTGTTTAACACTTTAGCATAAATGTATAAACTATGCAATAAGAGGTTTAAATACACTTGAAGTTTAAATTAAGAACCCCAAGTGCCCTCAAAACACAATTCGAAAGAATTAAAATCATCCAAACGGTGTCCAGAAAATCAGAAAACACTAAAATACGTCAAAATAGGAGAGAGCCTGCTCTTGAAACTTAGAGCAGGCTCTTATATGCATGAAGCCGGCACCATACCATCTTGGAGCCGGCTCTTGAAGAGTGGGAGCCGGCTCTTGGCTTCCCAGAGCTGGCTCTCTCCCTCTCTGTGAGCCTCCAGTCCATTCCAGCTTTGTTTCCGACCTTCTGTTTCGACTCCGACCACTTCCAATCCCTTTGTTCTTCCTTAAAAATGACCTCAGTAGTCTAATATATATCCAGTAGCATCCCAATGATTTGTTTTGGCAGTTAAAATTTATTATTGTGACTTAAAACCCCTATCAATTCATTACGCGTTACCACAAAACTCGAACTTCAATACTGTGATACCCCTCGATTCTAGAGCCACAGGTGATCAAGTCCGGGCACAGATCCGAGGGATACCAAACAATCAATATGTAATTGAACACAGAATATATAAAAAAAAAATGAAATAAGATAAAATAATAATAAGCTCATAAGAATTCTAAATACGAAAAATCCTTGAAATAAAATTTTAATATAATTTAAACCTTCCAATCCTTACAACTCGGGAATCCACCAAGTGGACCCCTAATAATCCTCAACTGTAAATGAAATACAGAATAAAAACCCAAAACTAAAATAAGAAATAAATTCTTATATAGTCGGAATAGTGAGTGTCTGTACCTACATCACCACGATCATTCCCTAAGCCTGGTACTCACCAACACCTGAAAAATAAGGGTGGGTCAGGCCCACATGCAAGTTCCATACTACTACAATCCATACATAAACCCGATACGCAGATACATCCTAGATAGCTCGGCAATAGCTAAAATAGTCCATATAGATACAGATACACACTATAGGACGCTCACTAGTCCAATAGGTCTGTTTCAGCCTGAGTAGAGATACCATGCAAATCGCACATACTGTGGTCATGTGTATCTAGACCTACCAAGGAACAACACCTGTGTCCAGTTATCCATCCTAGGCGATATACGCACCCTAACCATGGTCCTGAGACTCAAGCTCATACCATGGCACCATAATGATATGTATATAAAGTCCGTATACTCCTAATACAAAATATCATCCATCTTTTGTAGTGGTCTGATATAAGTATAACAATCCATCCAGAAACCAAAGTAGGTCATTCAATTCATAATTAATATGAGACAAATATGAGTGGGACTGAACCTTTATGGTAAATTCACACCTCAATCCAGAATAGGTAGGTTATAGTGTTTGAACTAATCCATACCTAGTATGTCACTGTCCCATACCGGTGCATACCATCCTTCATCCAATATAGTTGACAAATTAATAATAAATATTCATCAATCATACTCCAAAATAAACATAAATACAATATATTATATGTATGACCAAATTATGCATCCAGTATATGATTATAATCATAAAACTTCCATTTAAATTGTTAAAGCATTGATAGACAATTTAAACCATCCATATCCATCCAATTGACAAAACAAAAATTTCAATAGTTCATCAATTAACACCCACACCATGGTATAATGACTATGCACATTATACTAGACATCCCTAACCATACTCTCATACTAGTTCATTTAAATTATTAAAACAAAGACTAGTAATGAAAATCCTCTTTAATCCCTGACGGCATGAAAATTATCGTTTCATTACATGACGTCCT